ACTCTATGCCTCTCGGGCTCGCGCATGTCATCCGTATTCGAGTCCGACTCTTCGGTACTTTCTTTCGCCCCAGCTCTGGCTCGTGTCCTATGCCGCGCGCGCTTTTCGCGGTGGTCATTTGCTCCGCCCTCGATTCCTTCGTCCTTAATCCGGACCGTTCACCTTTCTCCGCCTAACTCGCACAAAATCTAGTCGGGTCCGCCGGCTCTCCCGCCGCAATCAGGGTGCTCGACACTGTCTGGCGTTAATCGGGACCTTGTTCGTGGCCTCACTCACTTCTTCATCCGAGAAGAATTCCTGCTGGGCTTTTCCCTCCAACTCCGCTTCGCTAACAGTAGAGGGGGACGGCTCTTTACCCGGCGGTCGCGTCTCCGAGGCTCGAGCAGCCATCGGCACGGCGGAGACCCGTTGCGCTCGCCCATCGGCCTGCACTCCTATTGCGGCTTGCGCCACTCGATAAAGGTTGTTAGCGCTACCGAACAGAGCCTCTCGGACTTCTCGACGCATCACTAAGCGCGGCAACTGCTCAAACGCGCCCCACACCTGACCTAGGATGCCAGGCTCATCCTCTTGTCCATAATACCGGATACCGGGATTTTGAGCCGGCTCCTCTTCGGTGCTCGTCACCAACGTTCCATCCGCGGGCGTCAACTTGTCGCTTCCTGTCCGTCGGTTACCCAAACTAAGTCCGGCCTCTTGGCTACGCCCTGCTGCGCAACGCGGTTCTACGCGTCGCGACGCCTTGCGCCGTCGGCCACGACTCCTCGCGGGCTCGAACGGGCTTACCGTTCGCCCGTTTACTATCACCTCGCCATCCACCATTCCGATCATCGTGATTTCCCGTGATTCCTCATGGAGAATATTTTCGGGCGGCCCTGGGACGTAGCCCAACGCGAAGTCTCCGGGAGCCGACTGCGGATTCAACTCAGGTTTTTCGCGCGCGATCATATACCGTAACATGCGATCCTGCAGGTCCTCATACGTGCTTCTCACGCTTAACTGGCTCCTCTGTAACAGAGCCATAAACTCAGCCGATGGGTTCGCGGTGATGCGCCGCTTCAGCGCTCGTACGCCTCGATCCTTCAAGATCTCGCGCATCACGGGATTTATCGGTCGCGGGGCGGCATCGTAACGTCACCGTTCTACGACACCACTCGGTGCAAATGATCCATCCCTGACTCGAGTCATCGGCAAAATCCGTGACCTACACCTGCAATAACGCGACCAAAACCTTTCGGTACAAATACGCTGACCCTCCCAACAAACGCTTTCTACAATTACTCAGGTGTGGCTTTACGCACCTGTTATTGGGCTATGTAAAACTCTATTCGAGGAGGTTGGAGATTAACGCAATTCCTTCTCACACTAGGTACACTCGGCGGATTTACACAGCAAGTGTTTACCCTGCGTCCTACAGTACCCTCTTTCTCTCAAGAAACACTACACGACAAAGTCAAATTTCATAACATGCATATTAGCCGGGCTCTCGGGCAAAGACGTGTCAACTGTTCAGCGATATTCCGCTTAGCAACAATACTACTCGACTCAGCTTTGTGCCTCACAACAAAAACAATTAACGACATTTGGTGACCTTCGAAACACTAGTCCGAAAGCACACCCGTCCAGGCCCAAGCGCAGCGACGACAGTAAGCGGTGATTTTTGCTATCAAAGTAAAATGAAAGACAACAATCGTTCACATACAAATTCAATATTTCGACGGCCCGCGCGGCTCTTAGCTTGCCTCGTTTCGAAGGCGCAGCTGGCTTGCGTGAATGTAAACAGACAGCTCGGGTTACTAACCGGCACTATTCAACCTCTCGTAGCTCACAACAACAAGCGCTAACTCACGCTGTTCGACCTTCACGCGACTTCGACGCGCGCTTTCTACTCAGTCTTTGTCCTTTCAAATTCCTCGATTTTAAAATTTAACAAGTGCGTTTCAATCCGCAGTCCGTTCGTCTCAGCCCAAAAATTGCCAATTTTTAAGCTTTCCCCACAAGGGATGCCATGTCACACTAATGATTAAAATCTAGCGCGTTTTGGGAAATGGTAATTCCCACGAGCCATGCAAGGGCCCGTGCCCAAGCACCGTATCACAAATTATTTTAAAGGGGAAGATAAGGGAGGCTTTTTCGCTCCTCTGAACGGTGACGATGGGCCTAGTCACTAAATTGGCGTTTTGGGCTTTGGATTGAGAGGAGAGGAATGACGGGCGTACACAATAATCACTCCTGATAACCATTAACAATATTTATTCTCTACGTTTAACAATAAAAGAGTGACGACGCGTGTTCACGCGTCGTCCTCAACGGCCGCGTGCCTGCGCTCGTGCGGACAATCGCACGGGGGACACGGTACAATGAATTGAAAGGATTTCAAAGGAGAGACTCGTTCTGTTCGTGAAATTCGCCGTGCTCGCGGAAGATCACGAGCACTTCGCCGACGCGTCGCGCACTTGCGAATAGAGAGAGAGAGAGAGAGAGAGAGAGACGACCTGACCTGGTGAAGGTTGCTGGCAGGAATCGCTGTTAGTGCTGCTGGCAGAAACTGCTGCTGCAGCTGCTGGCAGGAAATGCTGCTAATTCCGCTGCAGGCAGGAAATACTGCAGGAACTGCTGGCAGGCTTGTGGCAGACTCGGATGGATTCCTCGATGCTCCAAGGGTCGTTGGAAATCCTCTCCGTGTTTTAATCTGCTCGTCGTCCTCTGCTTTCTTTGTCTTGACCTGACTGATTTGCGTTCTCTCACGTGCGCATGCTCGGCCGTCAAAACAATCCATCTAACTCAAGATCTCGGCTCGAACTCTCTCCCCTAATCGTTTGCGTATCGGCTCGAGCAATGCTGGCGGCTTCGCTCTCGCGAGCGGATCGCCGCGGGTCACTCGCGCTCGCTCACTTTCTACTCGCGACGCATCAATCTTTCTCTCTTCTTCTTGCCGCAGCCGACTCTCGCCCCCAATTGGCTCCCAATGATGTTGCTCGGCTCAGGTATTGGTCCTGAGATAAAGCGATGCGAGCATTGGTATCGGTTCGTAATTTTCAAACGCTCGCCAGGGCAACAGCGAAGGAGCGAGGCTGCGAGAGAGAGAGCGAGCGAGCCAGACTATTCTAGCCAGGGCTCCGTTACAGACTGGTGTTAGCTCCCAAGCATTTAATGTAGAAGAGAGCTGCCTAGAGGAAGGTCCAGCCTCAGCATTTAAACAAAATGGGTTAACATGCTGTTTTTGGATGTTCGTAAGTACGAAATCTTCATAACCATCAAGAATTTCTAATTCTTCTGTCTCAGAATCACAATAATTGACATGGTCTTCTTCTGTATTTCCCATGAACTCATCGTAGACTTCTCGCATAATATCTTTTTGATTATGTGTTTTACAAACAGGATTCTTATTGTGCGAGATAAAGTTTTCCAACATAATTAACATCCTATAAAAACTTTCTGCATCATCTGACATCATTTCCTTGATTGTTTTTTTTAAATTTAATTTAACAAATTTCTGCCTCATTTTGTACCATGTATTTTGAATTTCTGATGCTGGTGTAAAAAAAAATTTTGTTTAACCACTAAATTTACGTTACAAATTATAATTTTTTTACTATTTTTATAATTACATTTTACATTTTACATTTATTATATACAGGGTGACCCATTTTAATCTATGGACCCGAATTGATTCTAACCCACGACATCTGCAAAAAAATGTTTTAGAAAAATGTTGGTCAAGACAAAGGGGGCCATTTGACGGTACCATTAGTTTTGACCTTGAAGTTAATTTTGAAGGTCATTTCAAGGTCAAGATGATTTTTTCAAATGGGAACCCCTATTTTTGAGTGCGGGTTTGGGAAGAGCGGAAAATTTTAAATCAAAATTGTCTTATGCAAAAATTGTTTTTGTGACCTTGGGAAGGTCAAAAATGAAGGTCAAATGTCTGAAAAAACTATTATTCGTACTTTTTCTAAAATGACGTGGTTTTCTTGGTAATATTACCGTTCATAATGCTTGTGAAAGATCAATAAATTCTAAGGGTGTTAATTACTTTGATTAGCTTGACCTTGGCATCAATTTTCAAGGTTATTTGAAGGTTATAACGCATTTTTTATTGGTAAACCATATTTTTGACTGCAGTCCCTGTTTTATGATATTAGGTCCTAAAAGAATGTAACTTCTTACATGATGACAGAGATTTCTTAGTTTTTTAACCTAACTTTAAGAAGATCATATCAAGGTAAATTTAGGAACCTTTGTTTGATTGCTGATTCTTCTTCAGACATGAGTGGCTTTTTGTAATACAAGAAAAGCAAAACAAAAGTTCTTTTATCTTACTTTTAGCGTTACCCGGAAACAACGACGTAGACGTAGTAAGTTCTGTTTCCTTTCGGGTGCTAGATTATCGTGAGTCCCCTTGCCTCTCACGTCGGGGTGCTAGATTATCTCGATTCCCCTTTCCTCTCACGTTCGATTAGCCACGGATTAATTGTTCGAAGTTCCCTTTCGTTTTCAGAATTTTTTTCAGAGTACAGTACCTGGTCTAGCTAATTTTTGTTTCAAGTTTCTTTAAAATGCACTCGAAAATCGCTTAATCCCTGACGCTCGTACTGCGTTCACCACTGTTAAATTTATTTTTGATATTGCTGTATCAATAAATATGTATAAGATCTAACACAGAATGGCCCTAGCTTATTGATACAATTTCTTTTTATTAATTATGAATTAAAATAATAACTGATTGAAGGATCTGACTCAAGATTTAAAACGTACTTAAAATTTTATTTTTTGTTTCCGAGATATTAAAGCTCAAAGATTGACCGATTTTCATTAGATGGCGAAATTTATCGTGGTACTATCATTTTTCAACTACTTTTAATTGTATTATTGAAAAAAAATTGAGCTTATGTTAGCCATTGATTTATTTATAATATTTTATTTATTCCTTGAAATCTACCTCGTTATTAAATCACTATTCACACATCTTGTACTTGATCCGGAAGAAATTTCGTAATATGGCTGATTATTCACCAACACAAATTGTTGATATGATATTAATTTTAGGAGAATGTCACAACAATTTCGCTGCTGCATCAAGACTTTATGCTGTACGCTTTCCAGATAGAAGACACCCTTCTGATATGACAATAAAAACCTTAACTGAAAGAGCTCGCGAAGGGCACCTTGTTCGCCAACGCCGTCATCATGATTATGAAGATAATGATGTTCGAACCTTAACAATTCTCGCAGCTGTCCACTTAGATCCGCACATTAGTACTCGACAGATTGAAAGAGAAACGGGTATACCGCAAAGTACAGTTTCGAGAATCTTAAGATATTTAAATTATCACGCTTACCACATCACTCTAACGCAAGCCTTACAGCCGCGTCATATTTTAGCGCGAATTAATTTCTGCCAATGGGCTTTGCAAACCATACAAAGTGATCCCTATTTTTTTCGATACTTACTTTTCTCCGACGAAGCTAAGTTTTATAGCGACGGGCAGCTGAACAGACATAACTGTCACTATTGGTCACACGAAAATCCTTACTGGTTTAGAGCTGTAGACCATCAAAATCGATGGAGTCTCATGATCTGGTGCGGAATCGTAAACGGATATCTTATTGGACCTTACTTTTTTGATCAAAATGTTGACAGGCATAGCTACTTAGCGTTGATAAGGGACCATTTACCCGGTCTCTTGGAAAATGTTGACTTGGCAATGCGACAAAGAATGTGGCTTCAACAAGATGGTGCTGCGCCTTATTTTGCACGTATTGTACAGGACTTTTTAAATAATCGTTATGATGGCAGGTGGATTGGACGAGGAGGACCAATTCAATGGCCTGCTTCTTCGCCGAATCTCACGTCACCCGACTTTTTCTTGTGGGGGTACGTGAAAAATGTTGTTTTTGCACAACGGCCAACCTCGAGGGAGGATATGATGGAACGAATCCGTACAGCTTGCGCAGCCATTCCTCGAGAAACATTGCTCAGGACTGTGGACAGTTTTGAAAGACGTGTACGCATGTGTCTTCAAGCCAACGGAGAAAACTTTGAACAATTTATCCGTGGTTAACCGCAGCCATTGTGAGAGGCAAGAGGACTCACGATAATCTAGCACCCCAACGCGAGAGGCAAGGGGACTCACGATAATCTGGCACCCCGACGTGAGAGGCAAGGGGACTCACGATAATCTAGCACCCCGACGTGAGAGGCAAGGGGGCTCACGATAAACAGAACTTACTACGTCCACGTCGTTGTTTCCGGATAATGCTAAAAGTAAGATAAAAGTACTTTTGTTTTGCTTTCCTTGTATTACAAAAAGCCACTCATGTCTGAAGAAGAATCAGCAATCAAACAAAGATTCCAAAACTGACTTGATATGACCTTCTTAAGATTAGGTTAAAAAACTAAGAAATCTCTATCATCATGTAAGAAGTAACATTCTATTAGGACCTAATATCATAAAACAGGGACTGCAGTCAAAAATATGGTTTACCAATCAAAAAATGCGTTATGACCTTCAAATAACCTTGAAAATTGATGCCAAGGTCAAGCTAATCAAAGTAATTAACACCCTTAGAATTTATTGATCTTTCACAAGCATTATGAACGGTAATATTACCAAGAAAACCACGTCATTTTAGAAAAAGTACGAATAATAGTTTTTTCAGACATTTGACCTTCATTTTTTACCTTTCCAAGGTCACAAAAAAAATTTTTGCATAAGACAATTTTGATTTAAAATTTTCCGCTCTTTCCAAACCCGCACTCAAAAATAGGGGTTCCCATTTGAAAAAACCATCTTGACCTTGAAATGACCTTCAAAATTAACTTCAAGGTCAAAACTAATGGTACCGTCAAATGGCCCCCTTTGTCTTGACCAACTTTTGTCTGAAACATTTTTTTGCAGATGTCGTGGTTTAGAAGCAATTCGGGTCCATAGATTAAAATGGGTCACCGTGTATAATAATTACCTTCGACAACTTCATGTAATTCGTCTTTCATAGCATTTTTCATATGAAGAAAAAAGTTTTCAATCTTAACCTTATCACCATGTCTAACATCAGATTTAGAAAATAAAAATGTATTATGATCATCTTCAATAACTTTTTTATAATAAATTTTTCTGTGCGATTCATTATTATTAAAATTGATTTTATGGATTAAGAAGTACTTGAAATTCCAAGATTAAACAAAGGAGAATAATCGTGACTGTCACGTAATTTCTTATTTATTGGCTTGTTTGTATATAAGTGTGTGTGAGAATATATCTAACAAAGACCAAAAAACGCACCCAGCCTTATGCGTATTGATGTTCAAGCACTGAAAACTGTAGTTTTCTATTATTCGCCTATTTTAATTAACATCTTGCAATTATTCAACTATTTGAATTTTAATTTTTTAATGGATTCAACGGAACATAGCGCAAAAAAGAATTACATTTTTGAATAATTGAAGATGGCAGATTCAATGGAACAATCAAATTTACAAGAAATACATTTTATGACATACTCATTAATTTTTATATGAATAATCCTGGTTTATATGAAAATTGGAAGATGGATATTCCATCACAATAGAAAAATTAGACAAGCTGTCTATTATGTCCAACTATTTGAAAGAATTAAATATTCACAAAACAGGTTAAAATTTTATTTTTTATATACAGTATTTACATTAATTTCAGTGATTTTTATGTTAATTTTATTTTTATAATCAATTAATTTGTATTTTTACAGTTACTGACATCGTTATCATAGCAAGATTTAGTAAAAAAGTTTAAGCAACAATTAGCTTCTGAAAATTCTGCCAAATCTGGTTTTGCAGCCCATAGTACAAACACTTTTCCATATTTTGAAAGTTTATCCTTTTTATTATCTGGCGTAAAAAATAAGAAGTCATTATCGTTTATAGAACTAGTTTCAAGAAGACCTGGAAAGTATAGTAAGTGTTAGGTTATGGCAGATTTTCCCAATATTTATACAATTTAATTCATACAACTTAATAAATTTTAACTATAAACAAGCCCTTTATTTTTAGGTCATTCCTTAGAATTGTCACAAAATTTAAACAGTGCATTTTTCAATCCCAATTTTACAGTTGATAATGATTCATCTCCATCCAACAAACGCAGGTTATTAAACGTACCAGAATCTGATGGGTTTGCTAAGAAAAAATTGAAAAGTATTACTGAAGAAGATGAAAATATGAAGATGATAGGGCGAAAAATTATGCAAACTTTAGACAATATTACCAAAAAAGTAGCAGAAAATGAAAAAAATGAAAAGATGATAACTAACCAAGTGGATTCAAACGAGTCACCAGAATTAGATTATAAAATGATTTTACTTGATGCTGTTAATAAAATTCCAGCTGGTTGCGAAAACGAGGTTTTGGAGATCATAATTGAGGAACTAGAAAAATTTGACAAAGAAAAAAAAGAAAATTGATTAAGTTATATAAGTTATTAAGTTATTGTAACAATTTTTGTATGGTACCGAACTGAAAAACTGAAACTGAAGAAATGCCAAATTCCAAGCCCGGAAATTGAATATCTCGGACATATAATCCCCGGTCCGGCGCACGCCAAAGAATGTTAAACAATGACTCGGCCTGGCAGGATACTATAGACGATTCATAAAAAATTTTACTGAAATCGCTAAACCACTTACTATTCTATTAAAAAAACGCCAGCCGTTTGTTTAGGTGGAAGAACAGCAAAGAGCTTTCGAGACACTCCGTGATAAATTATGTGAACCTCCGGTGCTCAGACACCCGGATTTCGACAGGACACTTTTTCTTACCACTGACGCATCCAAAATCGGAATCGCAGAGTCGCTTTCTCAATTTGATGACGAAGAGCGAGAATACGATGTAGCATACATCTTACATACCCTCACACCTGCTGAAAGTAATTACTCTGCTATTCGACTCGAACTATTAGCAATAGTATTGAGTATTTCACAATTCAAACCATATCTGTACGGCCGAAAATTCATCATCATTACTGACCATAGACCATTGGTCCATTTATACTCGATAAGCGACCCAAATTCACAAGCAACTCATCAGCGACTATTGTTACAAAATTTTGATTTCGAAGTCAGATATAAAAAAGGCGCATCGAATGTCAATGTAAAAGTACTCTCTCGAAATCCTATACAGGAAATCGAACAGCTCAATAAGCATTTGCAAGCAACTAGGCAAGATCCGGTTCAAACACTGGTCTTGACAGCTCTACTAGATGATGACACTAAAAGGCCAGGTAATACGCATGCTATGACCACGCGGCGCGCGAGGTGCCGACAACCAAGTACAAAATACCTGGAAGCCATCAAGTCCCTCCTGCTGCGTCAGAAAAAGAATCCGCCTCCTCAGGAAGTAGACACGCCAGTAACAGAACCGGACACGCATACTAATTATCCTACAGTTGCCGAAGACGCGTACTGCTCCGAAGGCAATGAAATTGGCACACAATATAATACGCACGATGAAGACTTTAAAAATAAACAGGATAAACAACCAAAACAGAATATGACCTTTTTAAAAGACGTGATGCTTGAAGACTCAGTCAACTCCCCTACCGAACTCGTGACGTTACCTAATGAGAAGATTATCTATTGTCGGAACGCACTATTTATGAGGCGAGACAATTACTTATACTTCACTGACACCTTTGGTACCCCCCTGGATGAAGGTGCACTCAGCTTATTTCAGCATGATAAACTATCGAAAATGAACAAATTACAATTAGCCGTTCCCACTGTAATCAAAATAGGGAACAAGATACATTTAATTGTCCCAGTAAAGAGACTACGGAAAACATTAGAAATCATATATACCTGGCACTGAAGCAATTAGTAATGAATTTAACTGAAAATAAAATTGAAACCATCAGTATAGTCTAAATTAAAAAAATTGAACTCGTCAAATTTTTTGAAATTTTACGAATGATAAAAAATACACTGGGTCCTTCTGAAGTCAAGATGTTAGGAACGTATTGTCTTCGCCTCCATCGAGTAACATCAACAAATAATCGAAGAGGTCCACTATTCAGCGATAAGCGGTCATAGCAGTTGCAATAGAACATACAAACGTATCAAGAATAAATACTACTGGGAACATTTAAAGGAAGATGTGCAAGAATTCATTCAAAAATGCTTACCATGCCAGTTGAGAAAATTAAATAGACAGACATAATGTCAAACAAAAAATAGTCATAACCGATACTCCGGTGGTTCCCTTTTTTAAGGTCAGCATAGACGTAGTAAGTACACTCGAACCTACTGAAACGGCAAACAATTACTTACGTACCTGCATGTGCATGTTTACCACATAAGCCATAGCGGCACCCATGCCAGACCAAACAGCTACTACTGTAGCTGATAACCTTATTAAAAAACTAATATGTACCTTTGGAGCAGCTAACGTCATAGTAAGTGACAGAGGCACTAACTTCACTTCAAAACTAATGAAACGTATTGCAGCTTGTTTCAAAATTAAGCATATTACTACAACAGTTTATCACCCGCAGACTAACAATGTTGAACGAATTTATTTATCATTAATTGAATATCTAAAAATGTTCATTTCCAAGACCAAAAATTGGGACGAGTATGTCGAACTTGCTATATTTAATTATAATATAAGCTGGCACAGCAGTCACCAGTTCTCGCCATGGGAACTACTGTTCGCTCGTAAGCCACGCCTACCAAGCGCTGAGCCCCTGCTAGAGCAAGATTTACTTCCGACCTACGAAGGCTACGTGGAAAACTTGGTCAAACAATTACGTAATATACATGAAATAGCTAGAGAACAATTAATAACATCTAAAGAAAAAACCAAAATACAATACGATAAAAAAACAAATCCTAATAAATTCAAAGTCGGTCAATGGGCTTTTCTAAACATTGGCCCGAAGCCATATAAACTCACAAGCAGTCACTTTGCCGGTCCCTACTTGGTCCTGGAAGTGGGAGAGAGAGAAAATATTAAAATTAAAATAAACGAAAAAGAAACTCAAACAGTCCACGCTAATCATTAAAAAAAAATCATACATCGAAACAAGTAGTA